GTTTGTACTGAAGATGCGTTAACATTTCACAAATGGATGGTAGCTTTGAGGATTGCAAAGGTTAATTATTATCATCTTACAGTATTATCATACTTATTATTATCTTACAGTATCGCTTCCATCCAATCCATCTTATCTTTCTTTTCTATTCTACTGGATATCTTGAGTTTGGTAGTTTTTTTTTTTCTTTCGAGCTGTTTCGAGAAAAATAGATATTAAAATAAATGAATTTCGAAAAGTGTTGAAGGAATTTTTTTTTTAATTTTCGAAAAGCATAGAAAGAATGGATTATTTATGACTTCACAATCGCATTTATTATATTCCGGAAACGGTAAATTTCATAGTACCAGTTTCTCTTCCACTCATAAAATTACCGTACCTTTTCTAGAATGGTCGAAATCTGTATGAGAGTTATATGGAGATGAAGAAACAACAACAAACAGAATTAAATGGAGTAATTCAACCTGTAAAAGTTGGAATTCCACAAATCTCACCTGTTGATTCCAATCGTATATCTTTTGTTGAAATGCGAAAAACTAACATACGACAATGTCAACAACAAGATCCATCACCTTTACTAAATTTAAATCGTGATTTACGAACTCCTATCTCATCCAGATTATCGATGGGAACAAGTAATGATGGAAATTCATCATCTCATCAAAATAGTATTATTTTTGATCAGGTATATTTATATTAAATATCTTATTAATTTTATTGATTATTTTAAAATTATACCTATTTCAATTCTAAAATTTCAATAATTTATAGTGTGATGATATCATAACGGGTACCATAAAACGAGCACCATGTGATATAATGCTCAATAATAGACAATCAACAATAACTGATCATCGAAATTCTAACGATGGTATTGCTTCACCAAGTGGTCGTAGTGGTGGTACTGCTGAAAGTGATAGTGATGAAGAACAATTTCCGCCACCACCACCAACTGTGATTACTCATGGAGAAGATTCTCATGATAGTGAGTATTCTGAATCTCAAATTTTCAATTCATATCATTAATTTAGAAATCATTAATATCAGTAAATTATAGTGATAATAATGATATTTAGAAACCATTAATTTGTTAATATCAGTAAATTATAGTGATAATAGTGATATTTAGAAACCATTAATTTGTTAATATCAGTAAATTATAGTGATAATAATGCTTCCGTCTAGTTATATCGAATTATGTCATTCCCGATCATTCTGGATTTTCAATAAAATAGATAGTAAATACTGATATTGATTTTTTTGAGTATACTGATATTAATATTTTATTTGTTTATTTTTAAAGTACTAATATTGATATCTGTTACATATTATATTATCTATATAATTTAATTTTTAGATGTATATAATAATCAAGATGACACTACAGTAACGACACCAATTGCAAAAATTACTTTCTCTCAACAGCAACAACAACAACAACAACAACAACAACAACAACAACAACAACAACAACAACAACAACAACAACAACAACAGCAGCAGCAACAACAACAACAGCGACAACAACAACAACAGCAACCAAGTACTAGTCATATGGTTGTTACACGTTCATCAACTTATACTAATGGTAATTATGTACCAAATATGAAATCAAATGTTATGGTACCAATACCACCAACAAAACCACCACAATTTGTGATACAAAATGGACGAAATCAAATAATTACCAATGAAGTATCATTTTATTCTTTCTCACTTTCTTTTTTTTTTAAATTTTAAAGAAAAAGATTATTTGTTTTTTTGTCTTAGAAAGATCGATTAACCCAATTGTAATACTATTTACTGTATGCTTATTAATTTTGCCTAATATTTTTGTCACTTTCATAAGAACAAAATCATTTTGGCGTACCTGTCGCGAACTTTTCTTAAATAATTAAAGCTTTTTAATTGATTAATCAATAAAAGAAAATAATCCATTATCAGAAAGAAAAAAAAAAAACTTCTAATTTTTAATCTTTTAGGTATACGGTTTTACTAGAAGATATATTGTTGTTGCAATTATTGTATTAATATTTGCAGAACAATATAACATTGAGTAATCATCATCATCATCATCATCAATCTAAAACATCGTTGACATCACTACCAAAGAAAACACCACCACCACCACCACCGAAACGATCAGATGCCACAAAACTTCAATCGGTATTTTGTTTATTCTCATTTTAAATAAAATTCAAACGATGAAAATACAAAATTCTAAGATTAATCTAATTTGATGGTTTAAATTTCAGTTCCAATTCATGTCCCTCTTTTGTAATTAATTATTCACTGCAGTTAATTGAACAATTAATTATGGAATATAAAATCTTAAATGATTCCTGAAATATATCTTATTTGAAATGATTTAAAACTAAAAATTGTAAACTTTGAAATTTCAAATTTTATAATGTCGCGTTAATTTTTTCTATTTGAATTGGAATTTTATAACTAAAAACTTTCATTTAGAAATGTTAATTTAATTTTTGCACAATTTATCTTTCAGATGAATGCTGAAGCTTTACATTCAGAATTAGAAATAGCAATGGCAAAAAGATTGCAAAAGATTGGACAACTTTAGATTTATTCAACCTTTTTCAGCATTTCTGATTAAATATCCATTTGTTAATCTTTTAATTCCTTTTATTTGTATTTATATACGGCGCAAACTGTGGTACTGATAATTCCACGTGCGTACTGATAATTCCACGTGCGTGTTTTTTTTTTTTCTGCATTATCATCATATCTAACGTATCCTTTTCTTTTGCATTTTCTACATAGAAAATATGTTTAGTAAATTTAAGGAAAAATAATAATTCCTTCAATTTAACATTTCTTCTCTTAATTTCTTCATTTTTTTTTCTTTGTAATGAATAAGTAATTTTCATTAATGAATGAAAAATTTAATGATTAAAGTCAATTTAATGAATTTCTTTTTTACTTACTATTTATAAATAATAAAATGCTAGCCATCTTTTCCCTATAATTTATGCTAATTCTTGCAAGCTTAATTTAAATTTAATTAAAATAGACAATAGACAAGTTGAGAAGTGAAGATTTTCATGTTTTATGTGTAAATTTATTTTTGAAATTTTTTACTAAGAAATCATTTTTCTATTGCCATTTATTTTATCAATATGCTGCTCATTTTTGAAAAAATTTTTCTCCCTTATATCATTATCATTACAAAAATCATATGATAGTAATGAAGGTAGGGAATTAATCAATAGCTTTATCACTTTCACAAACATTTTTCTTTTTTTTTTTAATCAGTTATCACTAGTTATGGTAAAATTTGTCATCGATCAATTCCTAATTTGAGTGAACATTTTCAAAAATGTTATGAAGAAAATACTATCAACAAGAAAGGGATATATGATTTCTTCAAGAGTTTATCTTTATACCTGAAATTAGCTATGAATCATTTTAGGTTATTCGAATATTCCTGAAAGTGTAAAAATAGCCTAAAATAGAAAAGGTATCATGCTAGATATCTTTACTAATAAAATGCGCTTTTAAAAAAATTACCGGTGTCTTTTTTTTTCTTATTTTACTTGTCCGTTTGTATATACACACATAACTATAGCTTCTATCATTACCTATTTCAAGCCACAAATCCCTATTTGTATTCTGTTTTTGAAATATTTCTTGTTATTTTGTTGGATGAATAAATGAAACCTGAAATTATACCATGAATCATTTCAGATTTCAGGTATTTCAAAAATTCTTTACCTTTCTCCATGATTATCTTCCCTATCTTGGTGTTGCTTGCTTATTGATTTATTTTATGTCATCAAAACTCATTAATCATTCTTGTGTATTAAATTTCTCTTCAATGAACTGAATAAAATAATTTCATCGCTAATGATTTTATTTTTCAAAATCATAAAAAGGTTAAAGGTTATTGTGTTATCGAGTGAATAACCTCCAAACTATTCCATTCACTTATTGCAATGTGTTCTCTAATAATGGGAACATTCAGGTCATCTTTGAGGTAGAAATGGGACATTGCGGTGTCATCCGGAAAAATATAACCCACGGAACCTGATATCTCCTATTTGATTGATATTTTGAAAATGCACAGTTTTACACTCAGTGGATCATCGCATTTGACATAAATATTTATTTCCAATAAATTTTTACGCAAAAATACAGTAAGTGAAAATCTTATGATACTAATTAAGGAGCAATTTAAATAGGCTAACTAATTAAGATTGATAAAATAAGCTATTTGATAATTGGAAAAGAAGACTAAATGTATGGGAAGCATAATTTGTTCCAGATTGTATGAGACAGAAAAAAAGTGTATGAAACTTTTTTTTTTAAAAAAAGAAAAAGTCCACATTTAAAGAATTAATTGAAAGTTATGGGAAGAAGATAAAGGAAATATAATACTTGAAAAAAAAATTATTTAAAAGAAATGAAGAAATACTGGTATGGGAAAAAGTAAAAGTGATAAATCATATGTAAAATACAGCACGACATTGGGACAATATAATTTCTAAAGGAAGTTTTAAATGACTATTGTAATCCCGGTGTTATACAATCGCGGGAATTATAGCAATCAAAGTTTTGAGATATTTCAGAGATTACTGTAAGTCAATGAAATATGTCGTAATAATGCAAATATTTGGGAAATTTGTCGCATAATGTCTTCTTAATTTAGAATTCAAGAATGTTTTTATGATATATTGGAACCATAAAAAAAAGAAAAAAAGAAAAAAGGAAAAGAAAATTCGTAAGTGGTAAAGGAAGTAAAATAGATTGCTCCTTTCTTTTTTTTTTTTCTACAAAATATTTAAATCGTTTTAAATTTGATTTAAAAAAATTTGACAATTTTATTTTAGATTCTACCGTAAAATGTAAGAAATATGGAAAATTTACATTTCAAACCATAAATGTAAAGGTAATTTTCTATTTCTATTTGTTATAAATGCAATAAATTGGAAGGTAAAAACAGGTCAAATTTTTAAAATACAATTTTATTTTTATTTTATTTATTATTTTTTTTTTTAAAAATAAGTTTACAAAATATTTTGAAGTTTATCATAATAAATGACAATAAAAGATAGCAATAAAATTATTTTCTTCTTGAGCTCATTCATATCTTTTATCCGTTTATTAACCATAATAATTAATATTTGAGCTTGTAAAGAAGAATTTTTGAAAAAGACGAAAAAACAAAATTGGCACTGTAGGATAAACTAAGATAATACTCTACAAAAAAAAAAATAGTAAAAAAATTATAATTTCGAAATGTTTCGTTGAATTCTAACGTCTACGATCTGATTCTGTTTCACGTTTGTAACTACATTCTTGTGATTCTTCCCTGAAAAAAAAAAAAAAAAGAATTAATTTGAAAAATACTTATTAAATCAAATATTAGAAAATTTTTGGTTAAAGCTTTCAAAGAATAAATAAATAGAGAAAAAAATTAATTAATTAAAAGATAAGATTTTTGTTTTTCCTTTTTAAATTTATAATTTAAAGAATTAAACAAATAGTAGGAAGAATTTTTAAATATTTCCGATGTAAATACTTCTATTACTTTTGAGAATGATTAAAGTTTAAGAATGCGTTATTTATTGAGATGAAAAAGAAACTCACTTGTACTCAGTAGGATTTCCATCTTTATTAATACGACGACCACTACTACTTTTAATTTCCCGATCATATGTCTCATAACCACCCGGTATTTGCTCATGACGATGATCACGTTCATACATATTACCACTGTTATTGGACATATTTGGTAATGGCATTAATAGCGAATCACGAAATTCATTCTCCAAACGAGTCATATCTTCATTACGCCTAAATAAAATAAATTATTACAAGAGAATTCATTCCCTAAATTAAATGAAAATTTCAAATTGAATTTTAATCTTTAATGATTGTTTAACAAACCGTCTAATAGACTGTGAAAAACCACGTCCTTCATCCCAATCTGCATAACTTCGACTTTTGGTGATCGGTTTGTAGAAGTCATCGGATGGTATTCTAGTACGATGTGGTGGAGGTATTGGTGCATCACGATCACGTGGTAATGTTGGTGGAAATTCAATAAATGGACCGCCACTTTGTTGACTACTACGACGATAGGATGATGAACGATGATAATCACCATCATAATTGACACCCGAACCCGAATCGTATACATCACCTTCAAATTATGATTAAATAATCTCTCTTCATCGGTTATTACCATGTTTTAATTATATAACAATAATCTTTAATTAGCCATTTGATATCATTTGATTATGTGGACAATAATTAAGATTACAAATAATAATTAGTTTAATTAGTCATTTAATGTATGTGTTGTCACTTGACCATGTGGACAATAATCAAGATTACAAATAATAATTAGCAAATAATTTTTAAGTGAAATATAAAATACTAACGAGTAGAAAGACTTTTATGAATGCGTCCATTTCGACCCGACGAGCTATGATGTACTTCTCGAATGTCACCATTCGGATTATAACGTAATTCGCCACGTCTTAAGCTATCAGATAACGAAGAACCATAACGTCCATTAGAAAGACTTCCATTTGTTATCAGACGTCCATCATCGTAATAACGCTATAACATTTCCCATATTGTATGATTCAAAGAACAAAAAAAAAAAATAGTCGCAGTTAGTTTTGATTTTTGTTTTAAACACATCTCTTGTTGATTTTTTTACAATATTAATTATTAAAATGTTATGAACAAAGAGCAAAGAGCAAAGGGCAAAGATCAAAGCATACCCCATCCTTTTCACGACGTGTCGTTACAGATCGCATATAACTTTCATGTCCTGGTAAATAACCGTTCTGTCGTGACAATGAATTGCTACGATAACCTAAAAATCGAAACTTCTAAAGGAAGTATTATTAATTCAAATGCAAATTTCTGAAGTTCATAACTTAAAATCTTTACTCGATAACTTACAAATATAACCCATCGAAAATTAGATTTTCAAATATCTCCAAATTAAATCATCTAACAGATAAGGGAAGGAAAAAAAAAGACGATGTAAAACGAATATAATGAATAATGAAAATGAAGGGTAGTAGTTAATGATCATAGAAATGTTACAATAATCTCGATATATAATAATGAAACGAAGGGAAATAGTTAGTGATCATAGAAATATTGTGATAAGATCAAAATATGATGATAATAAAACGAATGATAGTAATTAATGATCATATAAATATGATAAGATCAATTTGCAGCATTGTAAATATTTCGAATTGATTAGTTTAATTCAGTTGAAGAGATGACAGAAGTTGACAGATACTATTATGGTTGGTGTAATAATTACCAAAAGAATGTGATTACTTCTTGTGATTTTAATATATTCCATTAAATTTTTTGTTCAATTACGATATTCATAATTATTATCTTCTTAATTTTTAAAAAAATTAAACCTAACTAATTTTCATTTTCATGATTTCAATGATAAATAATTTGATTTGTTATGTTGGATGTTAAATAGTATATGTATCATAGATAATTAGACTAATAAATAAAAACCGCTGAAAATTTCAAAACAGTTCAGATTTCTTAAAAAGGAATGTAACGAAACGAACCACCAAATGAAATAGCCAATACAATACAATACAAATTCATGGCTAATTACGTCAATACCATTGCAGTCTATATACCGTAACATGGCTAATACGATTGTAATATATATATACTGTAAAACTTATGGCTAATGCAATATAAGAACTCATAGCAAAAAGGATACAAAAAGTTATAGCAAACATGATGCAAAGATGTAACATTCATTTCTGGAAAATTAAATCTTGAAATATTTAGCTTAAAATATGTGTAAAAATTATTAGCCAAAATTTAACTTAAATGGGTTAAATCCTCGACGATAGTTTACTTTATTGAGCCAAATTTATTTTTTTAAGTCACATCAATTTACTTTCTAATCTTATTCATAAAATAAATGCTTAACTTGCATTCTTAACAAATTTAACTTCCTCAAAATTTAATCCATATTTTTAAGCAAATTTTAATTAAAAAAAATAATTTAATATAAATTAAAATTTAGAAAATTACCTTTACCTTCATCACTATACCCATTATAAGCCGCATAAGCTTCACGATTACCGCCCCGATGATGATGTTGATGATGATAATTTCGATGTGAACTACGATGCTTCTTCTCTTTCTTTTCTTTTCGTTGAACGCGTCTTTCAATTTCTTCAATTCTTTTATGCTCTTCCACTCTTTGTACTGTTTCTGTTACTTTTGGCTTCTAAAAATGAGAAAAGAATTTAATCTTTTAATACAAACTATTTCAATCTTTTAAAGTTTGAAAATTCTAAAAATTTTAAAATTAAATCTTTCTTTTTTTTTAGAATTACAATTAAAACATTTAATACTAACTGCTGAAGCAATTCGTCGTTCCTCCCAATGATCAGTTCGAGCTACCTGTCGTGGTTCTTCTGTTGCATACATCATTTGATCTTTAGTTTCCAGATCACGACGCTTCATGATACCTCGAGGCTTATCATCCTAAAACTTTCATTATATTCGATGTTAAATTTAAATTTTAAAAAAAATCTAAACTCTAAAATTTCAACAAATTTCAATTAAATATTTTAGAATCTGATGTTAGAAATGTTTAATCATTGAAAACTTTTGTATCATTCGTAGTCAACCATAATTATACTTTTAACCATTACTGTTAATAAAATTAAAGTAATTATATTATTCTCGTATTTACTTTAATAATCTTTGATCTTGTAATACATGTGTTTTACTATCATTTGATTAACAGTTATGATTAAAAATTAAAGCAAAAAAAAAAAGGAAAAAGTTAAATGATAATGATAGAGAAATGATTATAAGAAATATTTCCAAATGTTAAATTTCATGCTAACATGCATATATGAAACAACTGGAGAGGACTGTAACATAAACAAATAAAGCAATTTGAAAAATTTAAATACTCAATTTGACAATTCAATGAATCATATTTTGGTATTTCCAATCATTCTCTCTTGGTGTCATCTTGTCGTTTATTACAAATGACCTACATTAGATTATTAACACCAAACATTCCCCAAATTACCATTTCCACAGGTTAAAAAATTTCATTCAACACAACATTTGTTATAAATGATTAAATAAATTAGTGATTTTTCATTTTTATTTATTTTTTTTTTGTAAGAAATACTTAAATATAAATTTTTGAAATGAGTTTGAAAATTAAAATTTGTGTTAGAAATCAAAAAAAAATTCCTGAGATATAACTTTTTTTTTGAAAAAAAGTAAATTCTAAAATAGAAGACATTTACATTGTTAAATATCCATTTAATAAAATATTGTTATGAAGAGTTTTGATATTTTCAAATTTAAATTCAAAAAAAAAAGATAAGAAAAAGTAAAGTAGCATCCTTTTATAGATTTAATAAATATTTAAAAGTGTTTCAATAATCTAGAAAAAAAAAAAAAACAAACACGAACAACATTTCAATAATTCGACAAGCTTGGATTTGTTTCCTGAACAAGTGCGCTTTATGAATGTGCAAAGGGAATAAGCATAACAAGCCTAACTAATCCTTATAAAAATAATACCATTCAAGATACCTTAATCTTAATCAATGTTCCACGTGTTTCACTGTCCAATGTCGGTAATGAAGCATAACGTTCAATGTTTCTCTCGTAATTCTCGTTGAATTCACGGGTCATCGTGGATTGCGCTGAATCCGTTACGGGGCCCAAACGTGCCGGCATATGGGGCCAATGTTGTTTCTCACTCTGAATTTACTAACCTGTCAAATAACTGCTTTTTGAAGAAAATTTTCACTTCAGAAATTACTTTTTTTTCTTTTTTTTATTTATTAAACATTAAATTGATTGGAAAATCGTTTTGTAAATGAATCAAAGAAAAAATAAAAAACTCAAAGAGTAATAAAAATAATTTAAATGCAATGGAATGCAATATCAATTCAAAAACACTTAACAACCTTAATTTCAAATTAGAAATTTTTGAATGTACCATGAAAATTTTAATTAGACATCCGAAATAGACAAATAATTTTAATTGGAAATCATAATTAGACAAATAATTTTGATTAAACATTTGGATATAGTGTACAAATTTTCGACAATTCTCAAGATTTCCTTATAAGATTAATGAAAAACCTCTCAGAAAAAAAAAATATAATTCGTATAGTTAAGGAAAATTGTCGAATTATTTGGATGAATCATGAAATTTCAATTAAACAAATAGTTTTAATTAGGCATTTCAATTAGACAAATAATTTTAATTAGACACCTTATTTAGGTATTTTAGACAAATAGTTTTAATTAGGCATTTCAATTAGACAAATAATTTTAATTAGACACCTTATTTAGGTATTTTAGACAAATGGTTTTAATTAGGCATTTCAATTAGACAAATAATTTTAACTAGAAAACTCGTTTAGATAAATAAATTAGGTGTTTACATGCAGAGTTTAAAAACATTCGATTGATGAAAGATTTTCTTTTTCTTACAAAAAAAAAAAAAAAAAAGAAAAGAAATGTCATTTGATATAGATCAGGAAAATTGCCGAATTATCCTCAATTAAACTTCTAGCACAATTCTATGGCCAATAATTCCATATGAAATTAAAATTCATTTTAAACTATCTATTCATTGATATAAAAGAGAAATTTTGATGCATACGAAACAATTCATTTATAAAAATTATTTTAAAAATTTGATATAAAATCCAGTTCTAAATTTTATGATTAAATACCCATTGATAAGGAAATACCAATTCATTACACTTCAATCAATGAGAATTATATTAATGCAATATGAAATTGGTGTGATAAACAGGGTAAGACATATAAGACATTAACTGATCGAAACAATAATAAAACCTGTTTGAAGTCATTATCACTACTATCATTCTTATCGTTAAATTAACTATCTTCATATATTACCATTTATATATTTTCACATAACAAAATTTCAGATTATCAAAATAAGGATAAATAATTCCATAGTAGCAATGATATTAGCTCTTGTTTTGCTATCTTTGTCATAATTAATGTCCATCATATGACTCATACATTTAATTGGTCATTTCTCTTCTATGATTTGACCGTAATTGCAAGAAGTTTTATAAGATTAAACAAATACAGTAATGAGATGAGTGTAATAAAAAAATATATATATATTCTCTTATCTTTTGGTGAATTACTAAATTTTAGGTTCCAAGAATTTTCAGCTCAATCCTCGAAGGATTTGTAATGATTAAGAATATCTCATTGATTAGTTTTAATATTATCAAAGATTGTTCAGTAAATTATAAGTGGAAATGCTCGACTGCTACTGTTACATTTGCAAAACAATGTTTAGGAAAATTTATTCAATCAATAATTTTTTTTTAGGACTTTATTTAGTTAATAATTTTTTTTTTTAGAGCCTTTATTCAATCATTAATTTTTTCTTAATGCTAATTTAGGCTTAATAGCAATTCATTTTAAAAGATATTTGAGGAAGTGAAGAAATAAAATTAGAATTTAAATGTACTTTAAAAAAAAAAAGAAAAAACTTAAGCGTCTAAAGTACTCCTTGCATTTCTTTCTATTAGCATCATACTGTTATTAAACCTTTTCAGGAATTCCTTTTATAATTTCAAATTTAAAAAAATTTACATCCAATGGAACGAATGTAAAATTTTCAATGCTATGAATTTTCTTGAATGAAACTGAAACAAAACTGGAAAGTAAAACGGAAAAGACATGAAGAAGAACGGATAAAATGTGTGCATAAAATTGATTGGTGCTGTGTGTAATTGTGTATTGCTTCAGAAATGTGCAAAACGGTTAAAGCGTAATTTTGAAATCCCGAAATTTGAACCATTCCGGAATTCCAATTAATAAAAGCTTTTAAAAATGCAAAAACGGATATTATTTATTTCTTGGAAAATTTTTGAGAAAAAAAATTTTGCTATTGAAGTCAAGCCATTTCTTCGTTTTTTTTTTGGTTTTATTTTTAGTGAACTGGATGATATCCAATTTAGACATACACCTTACCTAAACTTTCGGGAAAAAAACACCAGACCTCAATGTGCGCAGTTTGCACAGCAGCATTGGAGCGGGAAAGGGTACGCCAAAGACCGGGGGATAAATCGGTACGCACTTTGAGCAAACCATCTTTGGCACCACCATTTACCGAAACAACAGAACGAGGTGAAAATGAATGGGATGAGAATTGCCAAGTAGCTGATGAAGCATCCTGAAATTTTCTGAAAAAAAAATACAACCGGGTTTTTTTCTTTCCGGAAATTACGAAACTTCGTTGGATGGATGCTTAATTGGAAATTTCTTCTTTTTTTTTTTAATATTAAACGGAGAAATGTCTAAAAATAGGTGATCGGTATTGGTAAATTTGATAATTTATGAATAATAAATTAAATATTTATTTTCGTTTTTCTTTTTTTTTTCAAAATAAAGATATAAAAGTTTAGATTTTATAAAATTTTTTCAAATAATTTGAGTGAATTTTTAAACAAACAAATATATTAAATGAAAAAAAAAAAGATTGTTATTAAAAATGATTAAGCAATGAAATCGTTACTAATTAATATTAGAAAACACACAGTAGCAATCACAACGGATTAGAAAAAAAAAAAAGAAAAAAGAAAAAGTTTTTTTTTTTTGTATCGTTTAGAAAAGCATTTTTTAAAGAAATATAATAAATCGAAATTTTTGTTTTTTTTTTTTCTTTCCTCTGATAAAAGCGTTGTAAAAAAAAAAAAAGAAATGAAAATTTTGATTTCCTTTAAGGAAGATCGTATCGTACCGTAACATAACCCGATCGATCTTGTTGTGGAATAGTTGAATTAACTGATGTATCATTGGAAATCCGCGATTCCAGCATATCACGTATTTGCTCCTGGAAGCATAAATGGAAACATCCCAATTACTTCGTTTTCCCATTCTCGTAAAATTTGCAAAAGGAAAAAAAAAAGAAAAAAGAAAAAAGCTATCAAAATAGATGAAAGAAAATGAAAGAGGAAAATATAAAGAAAAATTGTAAAACATGCGTAAATCATAATTGTTAACAATTAATTCTTCATTTAAATTTATCAAATTTTTTTTCCCGGGAAAAAATTTTCGATATAAAATTAGAAATAAAACAAGAACCCAGTTGATAGCTCATTAAAAGTTAATTTAAATTTTTGAAAATCCTAAAACAATAATGCTATATCAACGCATCATGAATATAATTTTAATCAATTATTTGATAATCGATATTTTAAAAACATTACCAAACCAATCATTGGAATAATTAACCTAGCATCTAGTTTCTACTTGATAGATCTAATCTTAAAAATTATCTAGTGAGGAGAAAAGTTTGCTTGAAAAGTATGCTTATTCGAATTGACCTGGAATAGTTAAGCTAGTTGTTATCGAATAATTTCCATTGCTAATATTAAATGCATAGTAATATATCTCTATGAATTGTGATCATATCATATAGCAGAATGTATCTGATTATCATTTGTAATTGATAACATCTAAGTAATTGTAATCTAATACACGAAATGTTCATAGCATACAAATTACAAAGCATCACATAATTATTTTACAAATTGCCTATACTAAACCTAAAAGATTACACCCAAAAATAACCTGGTAAAGATAGGAAGTCAATAAATTACTAACCTTTTTTTTTTTTTTTTTCTTTTCATACTAAATGTCGCATAATAATTGTTCCACTCTAATTCTCTAGTTGGAAATTTCTCCAATTTCGACTATTCTTACAAAGTAAGTTAACATCAAAAATACTTATAATATTTCGTTTTCAATTTTTAACTCAAAAAATAATCTTAATTTTGATGATCTATGATCTCATTTTGGTGATTTATGATCTATTTTGGTGATCTATGATCCCATTTTAGTGATCTATAATCCTATTTTAGTAATCTATGATCTTATTTTGGTGCAAAAAGGAATGAGAAAATCCATATAAATATTTTACTCAACCAACGCAAATCGATCATTCATGCAAAACATCCGATAATGGAAGATATCGGGAAAAGGTAGCAAAAAAAAAAAAAAGCGAACCTTAACAATAACTGGAACTGGTTCAGGTGCAGTTTTAATAATTTCTGAATCAACAAGCCTGTAATCTGTTCGCCTTCCTTTAGATCGTTCCAAAAGTTTCTCATTCAATCGCGCTAATTGATCTAAGTCGCTATTCTAAAGTAAAATTCATTGTTATCAGTCAAAAAAAAAAAAAAGTTTGTTCGTTGATTTCAACAATATTTTCATAAATTTCACATTCTCCGTTTATGTCAAATAGCGCCCATTTCAATATCCAGTTTTCTTCTTCTCCTACTTTACTCATTTAAATTTATATGTTTCCGGAAAAAAAAAAGAAGTTCGGTCAAAATTGAGCAACTAAAAAGAACAAATTCAGCATTTATGAGAAGAAAAAAAAAAAGCACTAATAAAAGTTTCTAATTTAGCAAAATTGGTGCTATTAGTTGCAAACTTCAAATCATTAGTTTATCACTTAAAGCAAAAAAAAAAAAACGTGGCACGTGTGCTTGTGAATTGCTGCTGCGATTTCACGCCACGTCACGTCATATCACGTCAAGCATGTAGCTGGTATATATACATAAAAGAATCTCTCAAAAGAGCACTAATCGCATGACACTAAGAGAAGTTTGTTGAACATTTTTACTTTCAAATTCTTGAAAAAATGTAAATTAATTTCTATCTTATAGATCCATTCTAATTTTAAACAGAATACTATGATGAACCTGTAATTGAATTCAAATTTATAAAAATGATAAAAGAATGGAAAGTATAATTAAAATAATTTAAGGGAGAGATAGATGCATTTACATAATTATTCATTTATTTCAACATATACACCACTAATTTAAAGGCTTTAATTCTCATTTAACTGAATGAATTTCGCGAAAAAAATTCTCAAAATTCAGAAATTATAGCTTTAATTTCCATATATTTTAA